TGGCTCACTTGCTTAAGTGTCCAATTCTGGGTTTCGGTTCAGGTTATGATCTCATGATTCATGGGTTCGAGCTCTGTGTCCAGCCCCATGTTGGGATCTGCACTGTCAGTGCAGAGGCTGCCTGTGATCCTCTCTCTCTCCCCCTCTCTCTGCCCCTTCCCTGCTTGTATTCTTACTCTCTCTCTTAAAAATAAGTAAATAAATTTTCTTAAAAAGATAAAATTGCTAAAGTAACCAAAATGAAAGCACATAACAGTTTCATTATTATATAAGCAAATATACCTATAGTAATTATTTGTATTATTATTATATATGCTGTGTCTAAGGGCTTCATATCAAATAGCATACAGTCTGGGCTGGAGGATTGTGGGTTCTGGGTTATGGAGGCAGAAAGTTTTTGTTGTTGCTTTTTACATTTCTTTCTGATTTTTTGAATAACTTATTATATAATTTAGTACGTATGCGATAAGTGTGCAATAGTATCTGAAATCTGAGTCATCAAAGTAGTGCAACGATAGAGCCTTGGGGGCTCAGAGGAGGACAGTGGTTTTCCACTGTAGGGGATGAAGAAGGTCTTCAGGAATTGGGGAGATTTTGTACTAGCCATCATGTGGGAGGAAAGCATGGACAAGCAGAGGCAAGGGGAGATGGAGGCAGGGAGGTCAGCGGGAGAACATGCACGAAGGCTGGGAGGGCTGAGTTGTAGACACATCAGGTCACCTGGCTGAAATACAAGGGAGCGGAGAAAAGTGCCTGCCTTGTGTGAAAGCTCGCTGGGGAAGGTTATAATGGAGGGATCAGGCTAACATCTTCTGAACCTCCTGATCAATCTTAATATCCTTAGAAGTGGGACAGCCATCTGTGACATATTCCTGCCAAAAAAAACAAAAAAGACAAAAAAACAAAACTCAATGAACCTTGAGATCTAAACAGCAGTTGACAGAAAACATGGGAAACAGAAGAACGTTTAAACAATACCATGCAGACACACCAAATCCAGAATGTGAAAAGTTCTACAGGACAAATGAACTAATTTCTTCAATAAATATATGGCATGAAAAAAAAAGAAAAAGAGAACTGTTATAGATTTAAAGAGATTTAAAAGACATACCAATCAAACCAATGTGTGAACCTAAGTTGCACAAATCATCTGTATAAAGAAAATTTTTGAAACAATCTGGGAAAATTAGATACAGACTAGGTATTAGATGAGGAATTATTCACATTGTTGGGTGTGAAAATGGTGTGTGTGTGTGTGTGTGTGTGTGTGTATTAAAGTTCTATTCTGTTAGATTAGAGATACTCCTGAAGTATTTACAGTAGAAATGATAAAATTTCAGCAATTTCCTTTCAAACAGTCCAGCCAAAACACAAAACAAACCAAAGCAAACAAAAAACAAAAACAATTAAAAGCCAGAGTTGGAGAGGGTGGGGGATATAAAACAAGAATAGCAGAAACTTGATTTTTGAAGCTGAAGGATAGGTCCATGGTTGTTTATTTTAGTCTTCTACATGCTTTCATGTGTGTTTGAAATTTTCCATAATCAAATGTTTTAAGGAGTTTGAATGTTCCTGTAGCACTAGGAAACCTGTGGAGGGTTTAGGGCTGAAAAGGGGGCAAGGAAAGGGCTGAGTGACCCTGATGGGAGATGGCCAGAGGGAGGAGGACGAGAGGCCTGAGCTTATTTAAGACCTTGATTAGGTCTTAAAGGTACAACTTTCTAGTTGTAAAATAAAAAAGCCATGGGGATGGAATGTACAGCATGACAGCTATAGTTAATAACATTGTACTGCATGTTTGAAAGTTGCTAAGGGAAGAAATCTTAAATGTCATCTCAAGAAAAAAATGCAACTAACTGGACTTACCGTGATCACCACGGTATATGCAAATATCAAATCATTACGTTGTACCCATGAAACTAATATGATGTTATATGTCAATTATGCCACAGTATATTAAGAAAAAAAACCTTAAGATGGTGGCCATGAGAACGGAAACATTTTTGAGAACAGATAGCGGAAATAATAGCAAAAGAGGAACTCAGGCTGGTTGGCTGTACAGAAGTGAATCAGGTGCATTGTGTGGAAAATTCCCTTCTTCCTCTTCAGTAAATAGCCATCTTTTTCCTTATACCACTGCACTGGTATTACAGGATTAGGAGAAGGGGAAGAAGGGGTCTTCACTGTAGAGGAACTGAACTGGCTCTTCATGCTCCAAAGTGGAAAGCAATGGGGAAAGGAAGAGTTCTGGGTTTTTGTTTTTGTTTTTTCACCCTTTTCCACAAAGAATTACTCTCACAGTTTCAGTATGAAATTTCTGGGTCCAGTGATTCATTTTGATCATCTGTTCCTATTTTATTGAGGAAATGGTGATAATCACTGTCAGTGGTCCCATCTGAATAATTTGCGGTATTAGTTAAGATAGATATTGTTCATTTGTGAAGTTGAACACTTTACAATAATGTGTGTGAGGTTAATTAAATGAGTTGAAATGATATAGTCTGGGGAAATAAAAGATGAACTATAAGTTAATGAAAGCTTAGATTTAAATATATACCTTCTGATTTGTCAGTGACACAAATATTAAAAATAAACTTAAGATAGAAATAGTAAGCAGCAATTATTAGAGATTAAAGAGAAATGGTTGTTCTCTGACCCTCTACAACTCAAAGAAGATTAACACTTCACACAGGAAATATTGGCAAGATCTGATAGAAACAGGCCCTTCGGCATGGAATACATACCACAGAGGGTAGTTTCCTGATCGAGTTTGCTCTCTTCTTGATTTTTCTTTCTCCAGAAATATACGCTACAAACTGCATCCTGTAAGAAAGGGCCATTTCCTGTGATCAACACCAGTCTTTTCTGTCTCAGTTTAGTGTATCTATTTAGAGAGGGGCGGGGGGGGTGGGGTGGAGAGTCTGGAAACATAATGAGTTCTTTACCCTTACTCTGTATCAAGGAGGTAAAGGGACTTTGGAGATTCCCAGGAAGGACTTCCCATCCAGTCTACCCAAGGTAGCATCTACCACCCTAGCTTGGGCAGTCAGAGAGGGGTGAGGTTTTAGAAAGGTTTGCTGCTGGCTTGGGCCCAATTAAAGCAGAATTTCTAATTTGTGCTACCTGTTGTAAAAAGCTCTCAGGAAGAAAAGAAAGGGAGAGAAAAATTCCTAGCTAAAAGCAAGAAAGATGGTTTATATTTTTCTCAGGGATGTGTAGCTGAGCCACTGGGTCACAGGACAGACGAGGATGGAGGAACACATGGTTACGAGTCTTATTATGGAAAAGATTGAACTACCATCAGCACTTGATGGAAATGAGCGGGGGAGGGGTAGCAGCAATGTCTCTAACAGCACTACCTCCCTTATTACATTATCCGAAAAGATAGATAACTGAGAATAGGCATCCATTATCTCTCTCTACAAAGGGATTAGTGTGGGTTGCAAGAAATTAATGGCTTTTGAGTTATCACAGAAATACTAATGAATGTCAGGACTGGAGATGTAAAGCAGGTAAAATTGGCTTTTCTCTGCCTCACTTCTCTCCTTTTCTTTTTGCTTTGCTATTTTAAGATCTAGATCTGTGTTAGTTTTTCCCCCCCTTCAGCCAAGATCAGAAATCATACCCTTTGGGAGTGTGATTTGTCTTCTTTAGGGAATGACTCCATTAGTTTATGACTGTCTCCAGTGTGTATCAGCAAAGAGATTGAGAAGCATTTTGGAAATGAAAATCTTTATCAGGGAAGAGTGCTGCCTCTTGCATGGATGTCATTTTCATGCCTGATAAAAGTATCAGGAAGTCTCCCAAGTGACAATTCCCTTCTACTAAAGTACTAAACTTGTGTACGTTGCAGCTAATCATTGATTAAAGATGGCACAACCAGATAAACTTGTGAAACAGCGGAAAGGAAAGGAATTATATCTACTCTATCCTGGGCATTGTGCTACAAGCTTGATTTCTCATTTAATAAGTATTTTTTAAGAGCCTATTATGTAGTAGGCATTGTACTGTGTGTTGTAATGTAAGGGTGAAAAGACAGACCTCTCCTCTGTCTTCAGTGGAGGTTATAGTCCAATGGGGAGGACACTTTTTTTAAAACTTCAAAATTTTATTTGTTCAAATATTTAAATAAACTATTACAATACAGCCTGACAAGAGTCCATCAAAGAGGAATAATAGGGATACCTGATACCGGGTGCGTGCGTGTTTGCGCGCGCGCAGATGAGGGGTTGAGGGAATCGGGACAGAGTCCGCTCCTGGAAGACAGGATGGCTACGTGAAGGGTAAGTGTGTGGTAGCTGGTGGAAGCAGTGGGAAGGAGCAGAAGGTGACAGTATGAGCACAGTCAGGCTCAGAGGTGAGAGAGAACTACTGTCTAAGCAGAGACCTAAAACATGCGCTAGTTGAGTCCAGCCCGGGCAACTGGTTACAGGACAGGAGGCTCATGAACTGGCCTTGAAGACTAATGGGAGTGTCCAAGAAACAGGAGTTTATGAGAAGCGTACTTCATGCTCTGTCCTTTCTATTGGCCGTTCCTGGTTTTACTAACCCAAAGAAAATGTATTAGCAAGGAGTTAGGTCAAGTGACAGGAGGAACATTCTCTCTTGTGTATTTGGCTTTCTATAGAATATTACCTAGAAAACACGAAAGCCTGGTGAATTGCAGTTATTTCATGGACCTGTCGGGGAGGGTCACAGTTTTCCACATAGACCTCCGCATGTCACATTGACTTTGCAGACCACTCCCGCCCCTCAATACTTAATCTTGCACTCATAATTCCACTCTAGTTAGGTTTTTGTAGCCTTGAAATTTTTCCCCAATTACATCTTGTCACTTGTACTGTCTTGGAATTGTACTACCTCTACTGTGTTTAGTGTGAACCAGAAGGATGTCATTCCCTGATCTCTTTGGTTTCTTGCACCTGCCTTATCATCTCATTGAATTTATTCATATTAAGAAATTAATACATTGCTTCTTTTGTCTTGTTTTTTCTTCCTAGAACACAAGCAAGCATTCCCAAACATTCTGAAGAAGGGGTACCTGGAGATTAGGAAGGACCATGACAGTTACTGGCAGAGCTGTTATGCAGAACTCTCACCCTACAACTTATCCTTCTACAGCCTTGACAGCAGTGGCAATCAAGCCCTCTATGCCACCTACCAGCTTTCGCACTTCCAGAGCATATCGGTGTTGGGCAACCTCGAGGCCAGGCTGGTGGATACCGTTCTCTATGACAACACTCAGCTGCAGTTGAAGGCAGAGTCACCATGGGAGGCTTTGGACTGGGGGCAGAAGCTTTGGGAAGTCGTGCACGCCACCGTGCCTGGGTACGTGGGGCGGCAGGAAGAGCTGGCCAACTCCCCAGGGCTCGGTCATCATGTTGACTGTACACAGAACCATTGTTTACAGAAGAAATCCAGTGAGCTTCTCGCGCCACCACCTGTGTTGGAGAGCCCCAGACAATACCAAAACATCACCAAATCGGGGACGCTGTACAGGCTGACCATCCAAAACAACTGGAAGGCATTTACGTTTGTGCTGAGCAGGGCCTGCCTGATGGCTTTCCAGCCCGGCAAGCTGGACGAGGACCCCCTGCTGAGCTACAATGTGGACGTGTGTCTGGCTGTCCAGATGGACAGCCTGGACGACTGTGACTCTTGCTTTCAAGTCATTTTCCCCCAAGATGTCCTCCGCCTCCGGGCAGAGACCCGGCAGAGGGCCGAGGAGTGGATGGAGGCTCTGAAAACAGCTGCCAATGTGGCGAGGAGTTCAGAGCAAAACCTGCAGGTGACCCTGAGGAGCAAACCCAAGGATCAGATGGGCAGGCCCGAACTCCGAAAGAACAAACGTCAGTCTGTGACCACCAGCTTCCTCAGCATTCTGACAACTTTGTCTTTGGAACGAGGGCTCACTGCTCAGAGTTTCAAGTGTGCAGGTATGAAGCAAATTTTTAGTCTAAAGCTCGTTAAAGAACAACCTGAACCCTACAATTGGAATTTGCTGTAAAAACCCCCTCAATGGGCTAGTCATATCCACCTCTTGTTTAAACAGCACCTCTCCTTCAAGGAGTTTCCTACATCAAAACATCTGTCTGTCTTCATGCCATGCTGGTAAAGTCAGTAGAAGCAGATAAGCTATATGCCACGGAGTCAAAATGACTTAGCTGAAGCATAACCAGACTAGAATTTCAGCTTCTTGAGTCTGCTGTGATTCCATTTCCTTTATCCTCTTAACTAAAAGTCACTGGGAACATGGATATCACAAATCACCTCATAAGAGATATTCAGACCCAAAGCTGACTGCTGACAATCCTTACCGAAAAAAAAAAAATGTCTATAGAGAACTGTCATTGATCATGACCTCGTCAGATCCTGTTAAGGAAGAATCTACAGTCAGCCTTGACAGAAAATCTGGAGGTGACTAACAGCATGGTAGATGATGATTCAGCAGATGACCTCTGAGTCATGATAGGCCTGCACCTTGTCCTGGGGAAGACCAGGGTCTCTGAAACTGCTATGGAAGGGTGAGAGACACAAAGTAGAGTTCAAGGCCAATTATCTGTAATTTCTTAAGACCCTGTTACTGCTTCTCCCCGCTATTTCTCATTCCTTTCACTTTCCCCTGAACAGTAAACTAGACAGAATAAAACACTCACTAAGCCAAGTCTATATATCTCCTATAAACTAAATGAAATTATGTCCCTTTCACTAAACCCCATAATTTGGGACAAGAAATTTTCCTTAAGGTAAATTTACCATGAAGGTAATTTAATTGGAAACCCGATTTGGAAGATTGTAATTCAAGTGTGTCAGATTTAAGTGTGTTATTTAAAAGTGAACAGGAAGCTCACCAGCAGCCAAGACCAAATTCTCAATTTCTGCTTGTTCCTGCATTGAAAGCCAAATAGTGGTGGCATGGGGAAATTTGAATTTAGGTTAGTTGTGATGATTGCCTTTTCTGTTGAAAAATAATATACCTAAGGAGGAGATTAAGTGAATCATCCCTGCTTTCTCTAGAGGGTCTCTGTAACTGTGAAGCAGAAACTCACAGGGGTGGGTAGGAGAGACCAGAGACACGGGGCTGGTAAAGAAGCCGTACTAGGTGATGTGCGTGTATCTGCAGGCGTGAATGACCTGGTGTGAAGTCAGTCAGCTACTTTTGCAAAATGGTTTTGAAATAAGCGGACATGGGCTTTCCCATAGTTTGTAGAAATTATTGACATTTTAGTGTCTTATTAGTGCATGCATTATATTTCAATGTTCAGTCACTCAACAATTTATTGATGCTGACTCTGGGAACATTCTGGAATTGTGATACACCTCTGTGGCTCTGGATTGCTGATGGGGTCAAAAATCTGTGCTGTTATTAGAATCAAGGAGAATAGCTGGGCCTAGTTCTCAAGGTAGAGACTGAAATAGCTGAATCGGGAAACTTTCTCCTAAAAGGGGGAAGAAAAGTCTCAAGGGTTACACAAAGATTGTCACCTAGTTGACCCCTAATTTACCTGTCTCCCACAAGTTTGCTTCCTGATGGAGTGTGCACTGCCCACATCCTGGACTTCACTAGCAGCGTTTCTTGCTCTCAGAGGAAGGAGAAATGCAAGTAGAGGTAGCACACAGCAGGTCCATCACATCTAGTGGTTGGAGAAATGAAAACAGGAAAAAGACAAAGAAGGTGAGTAGAAGAGGCAGGGAGAAGGAAACTAAGTAGAAAAGAATAGGGAAAGGAGTACAGAATAGGCAGGGACAGAACTTTGGCGGCTGTTTCAGGTCCTCTGTTTTAAGGTGTCTCTCTGTGCTGTCTAAATGTCCTCGCTCAGTTTGCCTGGTTGGAGAACAGGTTGAGGATGGGTGGTAATCGCGAATCCAGGAGGCATTTGCCCAGTTCAGCTTTTACCTTCATGCTTTGGTTTGGAGTTCTAGGGAGGCACGGGGGTGGGGAGGGGTTCTAATTTGAGGTGGGGAGAAGTCAATCCTAATTTGTGTAGCATGGCCGATTCCAAAGTAGCAATTTTTATTTCCTTTCAGTGCCCCTTCAATCAGAAAATGCTACGTTCAGTTGCTTTGTGGCCCACACGATTTACCAGGTTGCTTTTCATTTTCCTGAATTCCAGCATGGAAGGAATAGTGGTTCCCTAGCCCAGGCAGGGATACTTCATCTCCTGTAGGGGGCAGAGTCTCAAAAGAAAAAGGCTAAAACTTGTTCAGCACACCTCTGAATGAATGGTTTTTTAATTTCTTGGGAGGCGGTTCATTATATTAAAGATTATAATAGCAGATGGAACTTTAAAAATTGATCTGTTTCTCACAAACACAGTTAATCTAAACCAGCTGTTCATTTAGTACTTGTGTCACCTAATGTTTCATCCTTGTAAAAATATGCATTCGGTGAAAAAGCTGGTTGCATAGTATGTTTACTTTCTGAAATGGCAAAATGTCCACTAAAGTGTTTTTAGTTGAACTTGGCATTATCTATTATTTTAAGGAGAAGGTAATTCAGAAAATTTCATGGTTCTAGTGAATCTCTTTAGAATATAAGGTTTTATATCCACTTGTCCTTCCCCTTTAAATACTTTTTAATGATTTATTTATTTATTCCCCTTTAAATATTTTTGATGAAAAAAAAAATCTTAGGAGTGGACGGTTGCCCTGAGTAGCTCTTTATTATGAGGTCATTCGGTTGCTACCCAGGTGAGCTACAAATGTTGGCTTTTAAATGTACAAAATAGTGCAGTGGGCCTTATCTCACTAAATTCTTTCGGTAGGCAAAGAATTTTCTATACCCTTTTTGGAAACTTAAAGAGCCCCTGCAGAAAAAATAGACCATTCCCAAGTGCCTGAAGTTATGGTTTTGAAAATACATGCTTAATGTATAACTTTGTTAACACGGGCTGGAACTTTTTCTAGTTGTATTTGACTATGTATGTGTGGCTGTTCCATGGCTTCCTCTCAGCTCCATGGCAGCCTCGTTCTAGGAAGCCCCAACACAGTGGTCATCTTGTTGTTCTGGAACCTACCCTGGTCATTCTTGCCTTCGGGCCTTTGCACTTGCATTCCTTCTTCCTGAAAACATGCCTTTGAAAATGAAGTTCTTTCAGTCATCCTGCCATTTATCGAGGGCCAACTTTCTTGCCATGTGCCAAAACACCCCGATGCACGTGGAAGAGTCAGTGCTGCAAGAAGGCAGATGGGGTCCTCGCCCTCATGGAACCTGCAGTCCGCTAGGGAGGCAGACGTTCATCACAGGACCACAGCTGCAGGCCACACGGCAGCGGTGACCAGAGCTAGAGAAGCGAGGGCCATACACTGGCTTGGAGAACGGTGGGAGGTGGTGTCAAGTAGAACTTGTGTGAAGTTGCAGCTCTCCGGTCATTTTCGACCCACAAAAGGAGTTTGAGGGTGTTGAGCTTAATATTTGGCCCTGAAGTCTCAGAAGGTTCCTGAGCAGAGGAGTGTATGATGAAAGTGGGATTTCAGAACATTTCATTTGGTGCCGCTTTAGTACAACTTTTCAGAAACACCGCTGTGGCAGAAAATGAGGGACAATTCTTCAGCAAAGTTACCGGTTGGGATTCAAAATTTGGTTTGGCAATGAGGCATCTGTGGTATTAAAATATTAATGCTAAAACAAATGGTTATGCAGCTTATTAAAATATTCATGAAGTCTGTAGCTATAAGTGGTTCTCAATTAGGTTGTTCACAAAACGCTGTATAAATCCCATCCTAAGGCAGCAGTCCTGTTTTCTTCAGGAATTAGCCACGGGTACATACCTGTTTCCCTTCAGAAGATAAGATGGTTTCCTGGCCTGACTACATACAGCTATTTTTCCTGTAATTTCCCAGCAATCAAGAAACCTACCAGCTGGGTAAGAAAAGGGCCCCGGGCCTTGTGTTAGGTGCCACTAGAGCTGCAAAGCTGGCCGTCAGAGCGGTCCTCTGTCCCTGCTTTATAATCTGGGAGTGAGAGCGGATGGCCGCTATGGGACAGTGTGCCCGATTCTGAACTGAAGCTGAAATGTTAACAGAAGACACAGCAAAAAAAAAAAAAAAAAAAAAACCCAAAAACAAAAACCCAGTGAGCCGAGGGGATCCCCTCCACTATTTCCACACTGTCAGTTTTATGGTTTTACTCCTTCGGCTGCTGTTTAACCTCTTGGGACTGCTGTTGGTAATTACATCTCTCCGGCATTAAGAGCTTTTGCTTCCCCCCCCCCCCCCCAGCCCTTGGGAGGAGTAAGCCCAAGGGGGGGAAAAGTTTTGCTGTGAATTCTTCAGCCATTTAGTGCAAATTCCTGTAATTACCGGCATTGTGTCCTCTCTGAATGGCACATAATACAGCAGAAGCCATTCCTAATTGAGACCTTACAGGAGGTACAAATCCTCTCTTTGTTCAGCCTGACAAATTAGTGCCAGAAAGTGGCAGGGTCCGAGTGGGAATCAAAGGCAAGAAACACAAAGATGGAACTTAAGGCTACAGTAATAACCCTCTCTTGTCCTGAAGGGAAAAAAAGGAATGACCAAGGAAGAAATGAAGTTTTTTTTTTTCCCTAATAAATTCCCTTGACATGACAGCACCTCGGGGCTGCTCTATTTATTTAGCAAAAGTGATTAAATAGTAATACAACAGGGCTGCCCATTGTTTCCCTGGGTGCCCCTACCTCACAGACCCCTGCTGCCTCGGCTAATTGATTGACAATGAACCTCTGATAAAGAAGTATGTTGTTAGGACCTGAGGTGGGGGGGGAGCACTTTTTTCTCTCTCTTTGTGTGTCTGAGCGTGTGTGTGTGTGTGTGTGTGTGTGTGTGTGTGTGTGTGTGTGTGTGTGAGTGAGAGAGAGAGAGAGAGAGAGAGAGAGAGAGATTTTGTTTGAATTGCACTCTAGTTTTTCTTTGCCCCCACCCCTTCTGGCCCCTTCTGGCCCCTTCTCTCCCCTTG